ATCTCAGAGTAGCATACTGATTCATCAAGCTGGGGATGAGAGTATCTGTCTGTTATGGTCAGGTGGTGCATTCACTTGCTAATGTTGTCTTCAACTTGTTTACTATCCACACACATCTCCTCTCTTTATGCATTGTAAAGAAAAATGAACTGGTTAATGCATAAAAATACCGGTATATGAACTCAATGTTGCTACTGTAGAGGGAATGGCCTTTTTAAATGGCGTACAGTTTGAATTATGTTTATCACTGCTACAATGATATGTACGTGTTCTTGCATTAGTTCATGATGTAAAGGAGTAGTATGGGGCTGGGGTCAGCAAAAGGGAGGGGAAGAAAAACTCTCCTTTTGCTAACCCCAAGCCATTCAGACAGGGTTATAATTTGTTTTGTTCATGCCATGGCTATACCATATAGCTGTACATACCTGTGCGATATTTTCTGATATCTGTTCTTCTGGTTCGTCTTCGTTTGCTTCTAAAGCTTCTGTGGTGGATTCTGAGTTGGGAAATACTAATAACTGTGATGCTTCTTCCAACTTTCTCCTGTACTGCTTGCAGATTTCTGAAAAAATGATGCATTGCAGAACTTTAATCAGGAAATCTGTGTCAGCATCTTAAAACTTCTGTTTTTGCTCATGATGCTCTTCGTTTAATATTTCAACCATGTGTTGAAACAGTTCGGTAATACCTTTCTTGATTTATAAATTTTTTTGGTGGGGGTGGTGTATCCGATTAGGAATTTAAAAACAAAAAAAGGCTATGGAGGAAATTGAAACTGCCTGTATCATTCTTTATTGTAAAATATCACTATAGGTTTAATGCTCACGGCAGCCTGCAGGAAGCAACACTTGGGTTTGCTGGTAGAGTACCTTGGAATGCAGAAACGATATTCCTCTCTCCCCTGACACTGGAGTTCAATTCGATGACCATTCACTAGGAGTGGTGAAGATCCTCCTATTTGAACACCCTCTAATGACAAATTGTTCTCTATGTCTTGAGCAAATTGTTATTTCGAGGTGACTTTCATTTAACTCAAAAATCCCTTTAAAGATAAAAAAACTGTAAGGTGCCTTTTACTAAGCATACATATCATAGCGTTGTTCAAATTTTAGTCGCTTTTTTTCACGTGTATTGTTAATTTATACACCAAAACATGAATCAAAAGTTTTATTTTTAATTTTTCTTTGGACATCAAAGCAGTTTTTGTTCATCATTTTGTAAAGTTCCTGTGAAAAAACAAGGCTGTCACGCTCACAATAAATCTGAGATGGTTTCTAAATGTAGGCAACTTTAATCATTTTTTAAAATGATTTGCACTGAAGTGTCGATGATATGTTTAAATTTTGCATGTTTACTGAGAAACACTAAGCAGCCCTTTACCTTAGCATTTTGGCTCAGCGCTGATGTTCTGATATTGATCCTAATTTGATGAAGTCAGTTACTTCGCGGGTTAATTGTCACACATCTTTGTCAGTAAAATTCATTTGTGAATAACACGCTGTGTTTATGAATATCTCCAATAATATTTTTGCATTGTAAGTTGCAATCAATTGTTAATTAAAGGGGTAAAAATTGTATATGAAATGCAGTAAAGTGAGAATTAAGAGGCTGTCTCCTTAAAAACCGCCCACTCAAATTTGCATGAAAAATAATTTTGCTTGAAACTCTGTCGAGTGAAAGGCTTTATCAAGACTATAATTAAAATAGGTTTGCTTGAAATTTAGTTTTGTTTGAAATCAAGAAAAATATAACCCCAACTAATTGCCAGGGATTGGAATATGGCTCAATTTGTGTGTCAGTGCCAGTAATGAATGAGGTAAGCCATACTTTTGACAAAATCTGCTTGAGATAGATCTGTTATGCTAAATCTGAAAATAGCGCATTAGCCTGCATACGCGTTAATACAAACGGTCATAACTTTTAAAAGACTGAAATTGTACATGGGTTTTTTATATTATTAATAACAGATGGTCCATCCTTGCATCTATTTAGTCTAGAGCTTTCAATTAGATCCCAAACGTCTTTTGGCCTTTCGCTCCAAGGCAATTAGTTGGGGTCATATTTTTCCTGATTTCGTCTTTCCAGCTAAATTTAGCGGGTAACTATTACTTTCAGGAAAAACTAGAGATGTTAACCTGTAAATAGGTATAAAATTCATTGGTAGATGGTGCAAATCAACCATTTCACAGCACTGCAAAAAATGACAAATTTTCAGTTTTCAAGACGTGCAAAATGACCGTGGCAGGACAAAATACTCGGCGCCCCCCAGTGTGGCCAGAAAATTATTGTGAATCAAAGGAAACCTATTTTGTGAATGCTAACACAGAAACTTCGCGATTTCACAGTTTCAAGGGTTTATTCCAAATAGCAAAAGTTCACTGCCAAAGGTACACACGAAATCTAAACCCAACTAACTAAAGAATTAAGATAACATGCTTAAAACAAGGTATTGAAATTGATCCCTTAATGATATAAATTCCGATCACTACCACGATAATTA